ACACACAATACATAAATACTCAGGAATATAAAATATAATTAGATTCAGCAAACAGTTCTAAAGCCGACATTCCTATTCCAGTCCCTACAATTAAAGGTTCAAACTTGTTTAGTTGAAAAGACTTGTAGGAAATAAATACGCTTACAGAAGTACACACGTTTCTTCAACAAGATAAATGTATTGAGTCAGTGGGACTGATTTTTTTTAACACAAAATAGAGACTGATTTAACAACCTAAACCAAACAGCTAACAGGATTATCATTGGAAGGTGTGACTAAGTAAATCACCATACTCTTACCACAGTTAGCCCAGCATACATGTCCTTAGCATAAAATTTATTTGCTCTTCAGCATATGGTCTGCCTCTTGTACCCATCTGTTGAGTCAAAAACCAAAGCTGGAATAAGAATTTGTCAGACAGAAAAGCAAAAAAACAACCCTACCTTTTCCACCACTGAAAGGACTACATCTTGACATGATTTGAATTTTGAATGAAGTTTTGGGTCAGTTCTGTTCTTCACATTAGACAATTTCTCTGTGCTTAAACAACCACTGAAAATTTGCCTGAAGTTTTGCCCCAAACAGTGGTCCCCTGCCCAAAGAATTTGCTAATTAGCGATGGGTAACAATATGCTCAAGTCTAGACAAAAGCCTTACTAAAACTGCATATGGACTCTGTGTTAAATACTGTATATTCAAGTAAACATCAAGTCACACATGCTCTGTCAGACTTCCATGGGTAACTCAATTCTAAATCAAAATGGCCATGTCCTCTATTTATCTACAGAAGTCCTAAACCCTGGTCTGCTAGATGATACAACAATGAGCTCTGACACCCGAGACAAGTACGCAAAGAAAATATTTCCGAAGGCTTAGCCAGATGAGAACAATAGATAGGCATCTCGGCAGATGCCCTACTTCTGTTTGAGCCAAAATCCCTGCTCAAAAGTGCTTCTTCAGCTTTACAGCACAGGTGCTTTCTGAACTCCAACATATTAACTCTACACCAACACAGCAGAAAACAGCATGTGTCAGGAGCAAAGATACCATTTCCCCCATTATTCCTTTCTTCTACAAAGAGTCCGTTTAGCAGAACAGGGGCCTTTTTGCAATCAGCATCTCCGCTCTGAAGACTCCCAGTCTGACAACTCTCACTGACCACAGGCACCCCTGAAACTTGCCTTGCCAGCACCGTCTCCAGGGGGATCCTCTCTACCACAGCAAAGCACATGCAAGTTGGTATCCCTTCAGTTCTTGAGATAAAATTGGACAGCTGGAATCTGTCTTTTGTTCTCAAAAAAGTCAACATTACGACTCCCAGCCCCACAATTGTTAAATATATTTAGGATAGTAGTTCCCAAATAAGGAGCTGAGCGATTGACAGTCTGCAAAATCTAGTAATAACTCCTCTTTGTTTTCACCTACAAGCACACAGTAAGATGCTAAAAACTCATACATGCTTCCTAACAACCTTCTCCCTGCTGCTCCCCATCAGGGATACATACAGAGGTCTCCTGTGCCTGAGGCATGCCCTTGAATCACACATGGTAGCGATCAGTGCCAGGAGAATGGGCATGCCACCAGTGTGCTCAGCATTCAGTGATCGCACGTTAGGAAGAGAAACAACAGTCATAACGTATAAGTAACTCATATCTGTAATAACAAACCATACAAGTAATTATTCAAGAATATGCAATTCAAGTAAGTTGTCTCAAGCAGCTACTAGTTTCCTGGCTTTTCCTCTCCCAGCACCTACAGAATGGTCAAGTTCTCAGAACAATTCTGGGGGAGTTTTCCACTTCAACTGTTTAAAAGTGAACCCTACTGCTTAGGGAAGATAGAAGCAAGACAATCCCTGTATTCAACAGATGCAGGTCTACATCAATAGCAAGGAACCCTCACCTTCTCCTGCATTCATGCCAGTCTTTATTTTCCTCAAGTTTGTATGTATGTGCCCTTGTAGGCTGTTAGTTGCTCCATACTCTACCCAGCTGCAGCTCACTCAGAGGCTGGACTCTCAGCCGAGTTTCTCGGTACAAGCTGCAGCCACTGTCACTCACCTGCCAGACCTGCTCCACTCTGCTGCCTGAAACCTGGCTAAACACTGCCACACCTTCAACGTGGGCACTGGATGCAAACTACTGCCCTACTTCCTTGATCCTCCCTTCCTGCCCAGCTCACCTTTTTATTTTTATAATGCCAGAAAAATAGAGTTTGCAGTCCAAAGTCCAAGTCTAGATGAGCTCTGTTCTGCAAAGTGTGAGGGATTCTGGATATGCTGTGGTGCTGTGTCAGAGAGATAAGCCTATTTATACAGGTAGCTTTGTTACGGGCTGTAATGTGCAACAGAAGAAAGGTAGTTCATATTGCTTAGGATAGTTTAGGACCACCCTAAAACCTATTCTAAATATCAGCATTAGTGTTGCCCAGAGTATCCACAGGAGATACCCTGTTGCAGGCAATTGTACCTGCCAATTGCCCAACTCTCTATTGAGACTGTCAGGTTCCTCACACAGAGGCAGAACACCAAGCACTGCTCTGAAGTGACACAGGAGTCTCTTCAGACAGGCCAAACTTACAGAAGTGTTCCCCTCCCCCCCACCTCATCATTAATCCTAAAGTTATTTTCCATTTATTCTCCCTCTGCTAACACTCTTAACACCTAGCATGCCTTTGTCCTATTTCAAGAGGCAAAGAGCTAACAGCAAATACATTAGAAAAACTTCTGAGTTTGTACTTAAAAATATCTAACCAAAGCCCTGAGTTACAACCATCACATCTCTATTCAAAGAAATACAACAGAAGGACTAACAACAGAGTCATTACTGTGCACGCACAATATAAGCATTGGTTAAGCCCGATAAATCTCTTTTGAGGTAGATATATACAGTACAAATATAAAGAATCAAATGCAAACATCATACTCACTTCACCTTCTTGCCTTGTCCTCCAGTTCTGCAGGAAACCTTGCAAATGTATTATTTCTGCCTCATCAGCATTCAAACCAAGTTTTTCCAAATTCTGAGCTCTAAGACAATTTGCAGCCAGAAGACCACTGAAACCAAACCCATATGTTTAACACTACCATGGAGTTTCAGTTGGGGCCGTGAGACAAGTAGGTTAACATAAAATTCAGCTAAGGAAAAATCTAGGTATTTTAAATAACTTTGCAAACAAAATAGTGCTGTTCAAAACAGGTTCCAACAGTTTCAGCAACAAGAAAAATATAAAAAATAATAAAAACCTTCTGCTGGGGTTTTCAAAGGAAGTTTTAAACTAGAAATTTGAGCTTTAGTTCCCAAAAACTGATTTTCATGACTTGCCCCCCGTCACTGAAACACAAGAGGAAAGGAGAATACAGCTTGAGACAGACACCTCCCCACCCCCAGCTCCCTTAGAAAAAGGATTCAGTTAAAAAAATTCAAGGAACTCTAATAAACCATGCAACAAACAGATAAATCAGATTACAGTCTGCTCAGAACTTGGCCAAGGTTCACATGGAAGGTTTGCAAACCTTTAAATAAACTTGTCCTCAGTTCAGAGTTTGTGACAAGCAAGCAAAGAGGTTTTGGATTTTTCTGGGCTGTCAGACCATGATGGCAGACACAGGATACAGTAACAAAATAAATAGTAAGTCTGGAGATTAACTTTTCTTTTGAGTAAAATATCTATAAAGATGATCCATTCTATTATAAATAGCTTTGAGATTAATACAAATTCATAACCACTTAATTAGTGCACCAACAGTTGCTTTAGAAAGATGATTGAGCAGAGAAGTATCTGCTAATCAGTCACTTGTGGTTTTTTTTTTTTTAACCAAAGATAAATCAGACTGTAGAACTGCTGTCAGCTAGTCAATTAAGTGCTGGTAAGTACCAACATGTGACTGCATTGGCTCAAGCACACATGGTCACATTTTGTTGTGAATCAACACAAAAATGAGTATGACTACAGAAAGAAGCAGCACTGATGCCTGCCTGCGCTTGTGTGACTGTTGCTTACTTTGTCACAAGCAGATGCAGGCTGAGGAAATTTCTCCCCCATAGTTGTGGCTCTCTGACCAGAAGCACAACTTTTGGGTCCGATTTCAGAATTCACTGTCACACTGCAAATCAGAGATTCAGTATCTGGGTTTTGAGCAGTCCCTGTCAGCTCCAGTTCTTTGAATACCAAGCAAACACCCACTTAGCCCACCTCCTTCCAGAGAAAGGCCGTCTCGGTGAGAGACTTTCCCCAAAGAGAACTCGATGGATGGAGAAAACAAGTGATCAGCAAGTGAAAGAGAAAGGTTGTGCTGTGGTTTCTCAAATGTCTCAACAGGAATTCAGACTTGTGAGTTATAATCCTCATAATTTGAAGACTGAAATATTCTCCAAATTAATGCCAAAAGAAACACACTTAAACATGGTTGCAATAAATGTTTTTTAGTATTAAAGTAAAAATAAAGAGGTCCAGAAGAAGACTTTGGAGTCCGAAGAGGCAGAGCATGCCAAGCCTTCGCCTCTCAAGCCCAAAGGACGGTTTGGATATTCACCACAGTGTAACAGCTTCCCCCTGAACAACGGCAATACTGTTTCTTCAAGTCAGTCAGAGGTAGTGTCTAAAACAGCGTAATGAATACAGCAGCAGCCTCCAGCTGAGCCCAGCTACGCCTGAGGTGGCCCAAGAACAATACCGTCTCGGCCGGCCTGGTCACACTGCTGCTAAGGGATCAGCAGCAATCCTTGGTTTGAGCCCTGGTGTTGAGAAATAAGCAAGGATGCGCACACAAGGGGATGGTGAGTCCAGTCACCAGGGAGATGCGCACCATAGTTGGGTACATCTGCTCCGGAGGCCAGCCTCTTGTTGGCAGGCAGACACCGCGCCGGACTGTAGCAGATGTGTGCATAACTTAGACAAACACGTAGCCACAGACACGCAGCAGCACTCAGACAGCACTTTCCGGTCCACTCGGATCCACACATCACTGGGAAAAGGGACCTGCCTGTATGTGATGTTTAACCACGTTTGCTCTAGAAAACTTTTTTAAATAAACAGAGATTACAATAGGTTTCACTTAACAAATAAAACATTTAGCATAGTTCAAAGATGTCCACTGAGGAGCACAGGTGGGACACAGCAATCAGTGTTTAGCTGCAGATTCATCCTCTTCTAAAAGGAGGTCATTTAATGCAATAACTGTAGCAGCAAAGTCAACCAGCTCCACGAAGTCTGATGTAATTATGTTAACACCCATAACACCTGGCTTCTGTGCTTTCACCCAATTCAAAATCATGGGCAGGTTCCTAAAGAAATTGAAATAAAGAAAATTACACATTTTAAGAGACTCTTCTCCGTACATACTCTACTTATTTCAAATACAACATGCTGTTTACAAATTATGTTATCTCACATTTGTGATCAGGTCCTGACTGCCACCCAGAATGCAACTGGCTGATGAGAAGAGCGCTTAACATAGCGTGCAGTCATTAGCTATCAAACAGAAATATTGGTCAGTCATCAATCCAAACTACCATGCATACAAAATAACACTGGTGAACTCTATATTCACTGAGCAGACTATGCTTCAGGATTTAATGCTGCACTACAGTTTCCTCCATCCTGGTTTGTTTTTACCCAACTACATGTTGTACCGAAAGCTTAATTTCACAGCAGACTTCAGTGTAGCACAAAGCATGGCTCTATCTGGCCCAAGATGCTCCCCTGACCACCTCTGCCTTAGGGCGGGCAGGAAAGACGTTGTTGGGGGCAGCACACTGCATTTCTACCAAACTCCTTTCAGCCTCCAGACCCACCCAGAGCAACACGATCAGGGAAACCAAACCCAGAATCAACCCCTCAGCTCTGTAGGGGTTGAACATCCCACCATATATCACTGTAACCAGAGAAAGGTGAGGTGTGTCAGGAATTGAGTTAAATGGAGTTAGAAATTCTACTGTGGGGAGAAATTTCAAGTCATTTCTTGGACAGAGTGCAAGTCAGGAGTCTGCACAAGCTTTTTTGCACTCTAACATGCAAACACCAGGGTTTTCAGCACAGTTAGAGACAAATGACTAAATATATTAGAATTATTTAAATTAGTGCCATCATATGCATACAAAATTATACGAGAAGATGGTAGGCAAGCAAATTAGCTAACAGGATGGGGGGGGATAAAAAAAAATTCCTAAAAACACCCTGCAGCTCTTGTTCCAGAAAAAAAAATCTTGTCAAGAACCAGGAGAAGAGAGAACTTGAGTGAAGGAATAATTACTGTCCCTGTCAAGGGACACACCGGACTTTAGCCAGCTAAGCGTGAATGTTGCACATTTTGCCCTGAATATGAATATTTAAATGTTCTTGAGCTCTTGCTAAAGGAGAAATTTCCATATGAGAAGGCAGATATCTACACAGAACTGCAAAGACAAATTTACACATACAAATCAGCTAGCATGTGTAAATGTATACGAGCAATCATGCTTCAGCAAACAGCAGCATCTATTTTAAATTTTCACAGTTTACTTTCAAACAAGTGGTAACCATGGGGCTGAGGGAAAGGGATGGAGCAAAGGCAGGATGGAGCGAAGGCAGGCTTCCAGCCTACTAGTGGCTTACAGCCCAGATCTGCGCCAGGAATCACTTGAAACAAAACTGCTCGCCCATTCCATGAAATTAGATGATCCTTTACTAGTTTAAAAATAGAAATTCAGTACGACCTTTCCTTTAATCACGGGACAACAGTACATTTAATATACAGTACGCAGATGTAAGTTACATCCGTGCTTTACTGTTAAGTATCCCCACCAAGCATAGGTACTTACATTTGTGCAGCTTGTGACAGCAAACACCAGTCTTAAAGCACCTGAGCACCATCTAGTGTCTAATGCTGACCACACAGATGTGGGCAAAGCACAAGCCAGGGCGGAGACCTGAATATATTGTGGCAAACATCATTTGGATTTAATTATCTTTTGCTAGATTAATGTCTGTAAACAGGAAGGAGACTGAAAACTCCATGATACATACTTTGCCTGGAATTTCCCTACTTCCATCAACAACTTCTGTGACTGCAAAAGCACACCACTTGCTATTTTTAGAAAGGATTTTTAAGAAAAGAAGTTACATTGACTTTGGATTCAAAATAATAATACCGTAATTACTTCTGAAGTGACCAATGATTCTCCCAAAGGGAACATGAACTGGCTGGTGAGGATGTGTGTTTATCACTCCTTAATATTAAGCTCAGTTGCTGATCAAATTAGATCAGTTGTAACCACCTATACAAGTGTAATTTCGAATTTAATATCATTATGGCAAGATAAACCATTAGTGAGATCAAAACAGGCAATATTAAACAGTGAGCCAGGAGACCAGATCCCACCAGGACTGCTACAGTTCTGGCAATTTTTAGCAAACAGGCTACAAGGTCATAAAGCCATAAAATAAAGACCAGAATAGGTTCCATGTGACATGCTGTTAACACTATTAAAAATTGCTGGCACTCCGTGCTACTCAAAGCAAAACCCTCTTCTAATGATCTTACTCACGGGCAAGTTAATTGTACAACAGTCAGTGGTATAAAAAAGTCAAATTGTTAATCTGATTTTTGGTAAAATACCCCAAGATAAAATACTGCCCCAGGTTATACATCTTTGGCCATTACTGAAATTCCTGAGACAGATTTGTACAGACAAATGAAAAACTGAGCCCACAAATAGGCAATTTGCTTCTGTGGCACAAGCTTTTTTCCTCCCTAAATTCAAGTTCAGCCAATTTGGAATGAATTATTGTTTTCAAACAACAGGTCCAGCCCATGTTTTATGAAATGACATCACATTCAGAAAGAACTCCAATTACCAAGAAACACACTTATAGTTACATATATACCCTGTTACTTTATTTTCAGTAATTCTTTATTTTTAATGACTGCAAATATCTCTCACAAGCAATAGTAATGAAACAAAACTGCATGCATTCATCAAGTCTTACTTCTAAGCAAAGATATCAGTTTCTTGCTTACTCAGTGTCTCTTTCAACAGGAAAGGTGGTAAGTAAAGAACTGAGAAATCAAGACAAGTCCTTACCTATGAACAAGTGTGTTCTTCAGACCACGAATTAGATGCCATGCAATAGTTCTCACTCGAGGCGTGAGAATTGCTTGAGAAACGTGAAAAGTCCCATAACGACTTCTTTCCTCAAGAGTGGTCTCCAGGAACTGTAACAGTTTGTGCACATTGGTTGTATTAGCCCACGGTGCCGGCATTTTATTCCCTGGCCACAGGAAGGAGTATTCCTGATACAAAGGGTAGTGGTAGAATATGAGAACCTAACAGAATAAAGAAAAAGAAAAAATAAACAGAAATTCACAACTATGTTATTTATATTTAAACAGGATGTCGCATTGGTTTATGCTTATACACTACTGCTGCAGCTAGCATAGCAGTGAAAAGAGGACCAAGCAAAAAGAAGCTGCTCCTGAGTCATGAGTGTCAGTACATTTGTTGCACTATTGCCAACAAAGGAGATGGAGATCATTTTGGTTAGCTATGAGGACAGGTTTGCTTCAGGCTTTAAGGGTCATTAGTTTAAAATGAAAAAGTTGCCAGGAGTATACTGAAACATCATTCAAAGAATTCAGCTTAAAAGCGTTTCAAAGCACTGTCAGAGAACATTACATCTGTATTTGAAGTTAAGGATTTTAGCAGTTTTGCCATCTTCTGCGTAACTCCTATTAAGTGGCTAAAGTGTACCAGGCTGACTGGCATATCGGCATTCCACTTGCGCTTACTGCATGAGATGCCCAAGTCAGTCTTGCTGTCAGCAAAATCTTCTCTAAATCAAGTCAGTATTTTATGCCTTGTAAGGTGGTTCTCTGTAAGAGGATAGCACAAAGATGCAACACTTTTTATTAACACCCAAACTTACAAATGATTCATTTTGGACCCTAGCACTGACAGCATCAGTTCAGAGGAATTCCTCAAAGCCTCACGTATTTTACAGTTTCAGAATTACATGCCATTGCTGAAACCCTGTTCTTGGTTTGTGTGTATGCATGGGAGCAGTTACCACAGAGAAGAGGCATTTAATCTTGCCACTATAAGATTTGGATGGCTGCAAAGGAGCCAAGAAATTCCGTACCATACCTTAGTCATGTTAAAGCTTATACGCTTCACACTGGCCAAAAAGATGACAGTTCATCAAATCCTCACCAACACAAGTCAGCACAACATGCTCTTCCAGAAGAGAAAGCCATTTGTAAGGAGCACAAGGCCCTGAGGATACTATCATTTAATTATTTAAAAAACATGCTTCGGAGCAGGACACAGTCTAGCCACACCATGGATGGAGGGGCTACACAGCTGCACATAAATGGAGGGAAACATGCACACTACGTAAAGGAGGCCCTAGTGGGCTTTAAATTGACTGTCAGCAGTGTCCTTGGCCCAGTACCTCTGAGTGGGAACCACACCCAGCTTTTCTATTTAAATCTTAACCTTTTGGTTTCGAAAAACATTACACATCCTTTCCCACCTGGTGTTTCTTCTTCCACATGTACTGTAACGTCACATATTCTACACGTTCAACGGAACAAAGTTTGGATCCAAATGCTGAGCGGATCCTGCTGATCAAGAAGTAGTGATGGCTGTCGTCCATAGCATAGAAGTGATTGAAATCCAAGAAGATTACTTCCTTGGGGTGCTGCTCAAGAAAGGTGTTAATCTCCTTCAGCCCATCCCATACTTTGATGCCAAACAAGCCATGTATGAAGTAAATATCTTGTCTTATTTCCCCAGGTTTGGAAGATACACGAAGATCAAAGTAGCGGATCCCACTTTCCAACTGCTCTTTGAAAGTCAGATTTTGAGTCACTGACCATTTCTTCATGATCTTTTTAACCAAAGAAATTCTGGCCAAACGTTTGATGGCTGTGGCTTGGTCTGGTCCCACAGGAGATTTCTCATCAACCCAGTAGCTGAAAGAATCATGTGACCCTAGAAACAAAAGCCAAGAATATTTAATTTTAGAAAACTGACTCCCCCAAAACACATATACCCATGTGCCCTGTAAGCTGAAAAAAGTCCTACATGCATGGCAGGATCACAGAAGAGTTATGCTCAAGCGTGAGTCTTTCAGGCTATCCTTCACAGCTTAATTTTCCCTAACTGTACAACAAGAGCTATGCTTAAGGTTCTCAGTTTGAACTGTTTTCTTGGGTGAGCTCCCAATTTCAATGCACTCTGAAAATCATGACCACAAGACAAACATCTGTTGTAAAGGGAAACTTCCTTCTAACCCTCCTTCATTTGCAAGCTATCAATCTACCTCCAAAGCTTTCCTAGAGCCTGGTACATCACTGATTTGAGATGATATTCCAGCTTCACTGAAAGAACCTGAGGCTTTATTTTCATTCTACCTGGTAAATCCAATTGTGACCAAAGTTCTTGGAACATATATCTTTATTCATGTGATGGACAGAGGGATCTGTACATGCACGTGCCTTACCAGCACATCTCACTTTAGCCCCAAGATGGTAAATAAATGATTAGTAGTTTGAACAGTGAGCAACGACCGGCTGAACTTAGAGGTGGAACAATTGAGTACACCACCAGTTACTGTGTGGTTAGATACCAAGCTCATGTTAAACAAGTTCATGAATGTGTCTTTTACCTGGCAGTGCCTTTGAGTGACCACAGGTACGATGAATATAAAATTCATGAAAAAAGACGAGCAACAGTCAAAATCGCCAGTCCCTGCCAAAATAATGAGTATCCAACAAAGCTCCTGTAACACAAGCTGTACCTTGGCATAGAAACTGCATCTCCAGTATAAAATTTGTGCTTACTAGAAAAAAAATCTCCAACTGAAAATTCAGTAGTAAATGGAAACAAAACTGAGAAATAACAACACTCCTTCAAAATAACAGCTTCAAAGTCAATGAAATATCACTAGCTTAGCCAAATCAATAACAGAACAAAGAGTAACGGGGCAGTGCATCTCAGTTTACACTGACTAGAGCAGCATAAAGCAAAGATGGGCAGAAGCCGATCTACCACAGACTGACATTTACTAGGGATTTCTAACCATTTACACCAGGCACCAGCATTCTGGCCAAGAAGCTGCAACTGCTCCCGGCATGACTTCCCTGTGAAGCCCCAGCCAGGAAAAACACTACAGGAGCTCTAACAGCCCTGCTTCCTTTTTTTCTTCAGGACAGCGGATGAGAGGTTCTCCATTGAGCCAAACCCCGCCTGCTTCCTGCACACCCGCTTTGCTGAAATTCAGGGAAAGCATCTTCACCCCCAGTCACCACAAGCAGCTCCTTTTCCAGCTGCCTCAGGGATACAGTGACCCTGCACCATGCTGCTGGCATCTTCATTTTCTCTTCCTGCATGCCCCAGCATTCTCGTCCCTGCTTCTGGGACTATATTTTTCTAGAATTTCCTCCTCTACCTCAGTCTGCAACTCTTAAAAAAAATCCTAATTTGTCATTTCCAATTTTAAGACAACATTTGAGGCATCCACAGCCTCCTTTACCCAAACCTTTTATTTATGTACCAGTGTGCACTTGAAGACTGATGCATTTCCTGTGATGCAAGGTCAGAGCTATAAACAAGATTATGATCTCAATTGGATTATCTTGTCAGGATTTTTTAATCCAGATGGAGGTACAGACTGTGTGCAAACCAAACATCAGTTCACAACAACCTTAAATGCACTCTTTCTCCATAAATTTCAGCTAGTTCAGAAGAACTGGAAAGGTACGGTGAAGGTTAGTTTTCAGGCTTTACAAATGAACACTGAAGACTAAATTCTGCTCAACTCTTCATGAATTCTTCACAGTCTTTGTAAAAAACGTGCCTCTCATGGCTTTCCATTCAGTCTTCTAGAAAAAAGTGACAAGTAACAAAAAAACCCGTTTTTAAAAGATGTCAGCTTAAGAAGCTATTTAGTACCTGCCACAGTAAACTACATCAAAAAGTAGCTGTCGGTTTTGGAGTGACACCTAGATGTTTTTTTTCCCCCAGCTCCAAATGTGTAACCCCAAACAAAATACAGGATATCAAACATCTAGTGAAGACATTTCAGAAAAAGCCATATAAGGCCTAGCTCATACTGCAAGCTGCAACTCACAGATGTTTGAGTCTCATACACCTCCCCATACAGCAGAATGAGCCTTTCAAGCTTCTACAATATTTGGAAAGGAGACTTCAATCGCAAGGGGCTTGTCTTCTCCTTCTGAATGAGTCACTTTGCACACAGAAGTCATGGGGTTTTTGTTTTTCTTTGTGTGGGTGTTGGTTTGTTTGTGATTTTTTTTTTTTTTAAAGTTTTCAATTCTATCCATTTTAATTTCTTCCTCTATTAAGGTCAATGTAGAAAGTTGTTTAACATGCTAGAATAAGGCCATAAGAAACATTGTCTTTTCATTTTAACTAAGACTGTGCAGGAGCCTCTAGAGAGCTGTCTACAGTAGTCACTCGCACCATTATGCTCCCTCAGACAGTGTCACTGATAAATCTGACTTACGAAGGAGTGACAATTTTATCTGGCATCAAATATACTGTTGTCAACTCAGAGCTGTCTAAGCAAATCTGAGCCAAGAACAGCTTGTTTTCCTAAGTCCAACCACATACTTTACAGCTACAAAAGCCTTTCCTTTGCAGATTGCCGCATAGGAAGAGCAAATTTCTCCTTGCACTATCAGAAACCAAATTCTATTTTTAGCTCTAGAAACAAGAAAGAAAAGAAGCCTCAAGCACATTGCAACTTTTTCAACACATACTTTAAGAACTGTGCTCCTTAACAGGGCAGCTATTTGAGAAACTGAACTATGTGTGACATGCTTCTATAGTTAGAGAAGACTATTAAAACTCCTGCCCTGTGGCTCTGCCTAAAAGCCTAGGAAACTGGACTTCTCATTTACAATGAAGTCAACATGTATACCTAGATATAACCAAGTGGAACATGAGCTGGAGCATCTGAAAAACAAGTTCTTTTCACAGTTGGTAGAAGACCACCGCCTAAGGAGGACAGGGTAGCATCATCAATACTGAGGCTTGAAAGACACAGCAGAATTTCAATTAGATTTTCAGTGGTCATTCACAGAAGGCCAGCCACCAACTGTGAGAAATATCTAGGCCAAACCTGGACCCAGAACATTTTTACTCCAGTAAGATAAAAGCAAACTGAAAATCTGAAGCAACAGCACTGGATACCTGTTGGGCTGAGAGGTAAGTGAAGATCCACATCATCCACCAAGCCCTTCTTTAATTTAAGATCACTGTGTTACGTTACCAGCTCAGCCACTGGCTTTTAATATAGCTTAGCTGTGATGTTAAGCTACATGCTAAGCTGATTGCATCATGATGTCAAAGTAATCCCTGCTCTCCTTTGCTCTACCCCTAAACTCCATGAAAGGCCTAGCCATTTTGTAGCCATGGCATGAACCAGGCTGGTTGCTGATGCAGCATGATTTCTTAGTATAATCTAAGCCAATCCAAACCTATACAGTTTCAAAGGCAAAAGCCTACACCAGAAGCATGGCGCAGACCAGCCCCGTCTTGTTAGCAGCTCAGTGTTAGAGCTGCTAATCACATTGTCAGTTAAGGTCTAACACGAGGATGTGTGAAGATACTCAGACGCTGTGAAGTTGTACAGTAACAGCAACGGGTCTGGCAGTTGCTGAACAGAGCAAGAATCACAAAACTCTCATAGAAAGGACTTTTCTGTGTATGTCACTGTATATAAGAAATCCTTTATGGTCTGTGTTCCCCCCACCCAAATGGTGTGCGTCTCTCCAAATTATACTGACCACTTTCTCAGGAAAGTTGAAAAAGCTCAAGAAGTCTCATGAGCAAAAACATTTCAGATGACACCTGATATCTTAAAAATAAGTAACACCCTGTACTGATTCAATAAATCCGTTCCTCAAACTTGTTGATTGTGAACAAAGCAGCTAACAAACCCAGGTATTTATAACTTCCATCTTGCAGATTGAAAAATCAAAAGGCACAGAGAAGTCAAGAAACTTAGTCTTAGTTGTCCTTTAGGCAGAACAGAGGCCAGAACCACAGTCTGAACTGCCTCAAGGGCATGTTCTTGCATGTGCAGCACACTTCTTGAGTTACTGTACACAAGGACAGATAAGCATTCAGATTGGAAACCTTACTGAGCTGCTCCAGTGACATGGCATCAATCTGGTGCTCAGCCCTTCCCGAAATCAAGCTAGGCACAGGAGATAAAACAGAGATGATGATTTGCCAAATTGCTTCCCATAGGCCAAAGATGCATAGCATGAAGCAGCAAGTATTAAAATTAAGGATAGAAGCCTGCCTATTCAAAGAAAAAAAAAGTTAGGGGACTGCTAATCAGCTGGCAGCTCTTACAGAGCAACAGACAACGGCTGCTCTATTTTGGTTTCACATCTTTCATCTGACAAAGATTAGAAGCTTCAAGGAAAGCAGTCACATCCCATCAGATGCCCAGATATTTAACTATCAAAGGCTATCGTGTGTTTAGAATAGTATTAAAGAGGTATGTTCCAGACACCAGATTGTTAAAATGATGGTTAGTCCTCTTAATTTTATCCCAGCAAGGGCAACTGTGGATTAATTTTTATTCATATCTTTAAATCCCTTTTTATTCTCCTTACACTAATTTCTCAAGTTAATTGTATGTTAAATAGATCACTTCTCAATTCAATTTGTATGTTAAATAGATTGTATTTCACTGTTCAGGATGACTTTTTTGTTGAAGCTTTTGTGCTAATTGTTAGAAAGTGGCCTTTTATCATCACATCTGCAAAGTCTGACTTTCCAGTGCGTCTATTTGTCATGCAACTTAGTCACAGATAGTCAAATTAACCCATGGTGTAGCTCAAACAAATGATGCTAATCAACAATGTTATTAAGCCTTGAATTTCAACAATTACTAGTTGTATCGCTTTGTATTATCTTTTGTTTCCACATCAGTACTTTCTCCATATACAGTT